ACACGTGTTTGCGAATGCTGATCATTCGCAGCCGAGCGCTCGTCGCGTCAGCATCTCTTGAGTATGTGTGGAAGGGCGAAACACGAGTGTCGAGTATAGGTTTGATTGCATGGCTTGGTTTTCCGTATTTTGCATGTGTGCATATGCATGTTGATCTTTGCTGCATGTGCAAGCATGATTGCATAACTGTCGGATTGCATCCTGCAACAAGCCTAGATTTTTGTTGCAGAATAAAAACTAAATATTTTTCATAATATTTAATGTCATGGATTTCCGCGAAGTAACGCCTAAATCCATAAATTATCTTATATTAAAATGTTATAATTATTTAAATAGATTTTTAAAATTTTAATTTTTTTTTTATTTCAGTATGACTTACATGAACAGTAGAACTAGAAGAGACCAAGCTGTCCAGAGTGTCCTGGCTCCTCTGAGCAGTGTCGGCTAGTTGCCGGCTTATAGACAGCAGTTGTTCAGTTACACCTAAAATATACATATAATACAACCAATTATAGTAAAGGACTAGCTTTAAAATCTACAATACATTATTTCAAAGAACTGTTAAGGACTGATTTTTCAATGCCTAGATAAAAGTTACCTGGGGAATAATTATGATGCTGTTGCATCAAAATGTTTGTATAAGACAATGACAGCAATAATTTTATTACTCAGAGAATATTTATCTAACTTGAAAAATCAGCCATTAAACAAATAAAGAATAAAACTGAAACAGTATAGTAGTCCTAATAATTCATTACATATTAAATACTGTCCCTAACTACATATTCCTGTGAAGTAACAATAATAAATGTAATAAAATTGTATTTATATAAATATAATTAATTATTTGCAGACAACAACCATTTATCTAATGATAAAAGATAATCATATCTACTTTATACATATATTGTGAGCTGTCAAGATTCATTACTTTATATAACATTTCTATTCAATCCCTGGCTTCAGACATTTCATCTTTGTTCTATTTACCTATGGCATACTGCCAGTACACATGTGACTTATTTAAAGAAACTCATTTACTGCTAATAGTAGACATTGCAACATCAAAAAAAAACATATAATATGCTACAAAGCATATAGGCAGTTCTTACAATGTAATAATATTAATAAACAAATGAACTATTAGTTTGCAAATAAGTAAAGTTTATGTCATTGAAAACATTAATGAGTCAATGTTTAAGAATGTAAATAGGTCAATGTTTGTATGAGGAATGCTGTTGACAGATACACAATTTTAAAAACTAGTGAAAGAATTAAATCAATTATTGTATGTACTTGTTATTTCGTTTTCAAAATAAACTCCTCTATTTATAGAGTAAAGAGTGAAGCTTCTTTCTTGCCCACACATAAAAAATGTTTAATCTTTTGTTTTGGGAGGTTGCGGTGGGCTTAAAAATGTGTGAGTAATTTAAAACAAAATCAATATAAAACCAAGAAGCAAGGGAGACCCATGCCCTGGTACAAATGTTTGGCCCGACTGAATCTTTCAACCCCTCTCCTGTGCACTAATATTCTCGAACTTCAAATGTACTATTTTTGAATCCCTAACAACCCACAAAAGGCTGGCCATTGAATTATTATACCTGTGTGAAAGCTACTGTTCTTTAGAAAAAGTTAAAATATTACCTGAAGACATCTTAAGCAGTCCATCTCTCTCCACCTTAGTCTTTCGGTTCCTGATCCCAGAATCATCTCGTTCTCCAGCTTTTAACAATTCATCTCTTTCAGCTTTCTCTATGGCAAACATACTCATTATGTTGGCCTCCTTGAATTCTTTCAGCAGGCTGAAAATTAATACATAAGATATCATATTTAGTGATAAAAAAGGATATATTAAAATAGTCCGCCTAAGATATTTAAAATCTTGTTTATTTTTAAAACCTCCCAACAAGTTTACAAACACAAGGATATATCAAAAACATACAGACTTATAGCAGCAACTTAAAGTAGTTGCTAACTTTTGCAATTTCATCTATCATATCATTATGACTTACTCACATATATTGAGGAAACCTCTGTTACAGAGGTACAAATTGCTGATAAAAAATAACAAAAAAAATCTCACGTTATTACTGAACGAAGTTGGCCTTACCAAGCTAGTTGATGCCTTTGTGATTCCACCTCAGTTGCATACTTCATATCACCTATATCCTTGCCATACATTTCAAAATTCTCCAGTTCATCCCTCAGAAGGGATATAGCTGCTCTGCCCTTTTCGTTGAGCTTGTTTAAGCTTTCCATTGAGTCTCGACATGCTAATATTTCCTGTAAATGTATAAATGATTGATATAATAATTTGTAAAAAAATGAGAAACAGATAATAAACTCTTTTTGCCAGTTACACATTTAGAATATAGTTTATTACGTACTTTACTATTAAAAAAGTACGTACTATATTTAAACCGATATGAAAACCCTTTATAAAAAGAGTATGTAATTTCGAAAAGGTTAGAGAACTAATTGCAATCTCTCTGCTAGTTCCACGTCTTAAATGCACAAGACAGCAAATATGATGCTGGAATGTAAAAATAACTAGTTCCAACTGAAATTATCATTCATAATTACCTGAATTATATTTTTAACTGTAAAATAATGCTTCGAAAGAACTTTCAGATAATTCTGGTACGCCGTGTCTGTTGGGTCTATTTTTTGAAATAGCTTGCTGTACGCGGTGCTGCCTATTTCTCTTTCTGCTCTCAAATTCATGTTGCTAATTTAAAATATTATCTTAATATTTTATTTACACTATTCTACTTTTTTATTTTGAAAACTTTTGTCAGAGTGTCATCTAATCAGTCGAGGTGACGTTAATGTGTCACTGTCAATGACGTTCGAACTTCTGACGTTTCACGAAATGACTTCTTTACACGAATAAAAATATAAAATTGCGTTAAAAAACACCCTACCACGATGAACGCCATGGCAGACACCGTGTTGGCCAGGTTAGAGGAGGATTAGCCCTCAGCAGTGATTGTCGGCACTCAATCACTTAAACATATTGATGATATTTTAAATATACAGAATGATCTTCCGGCGGGCGGCGGTATTCCCGAACCTATAAGACCTTCAAACCTTCATGAAACGAGCGTACTCCTTCCTAAAAGGCCGGCAACTCACCTATGACTCCTCTGGTGTTGCAGGTGTCCATGGGCGGTGCCGATCGCTTACCATCAGGTGATCTGTCTGCTCGTTTGCCTCTTATTCCATAAAAAATGCATATTTCAAATTGTAGCAAGCTCAATTAAGCACCTAATTAAATTTGCAGAAATTAAGCCGAATTAAAATTTGTATTATAAAGCATCATTTGGTATTTTGATACTATTTACATGCATTTCAGGTCCCAAACATTCAATGTCTAGTTTATATTATTTTCAAAACAAACAATTTACGGACAGTCTTTACTATCATTATGTACTTTACTCCAAAGAATCTAGAAAACAAATCTTATTCCGTAACCGAAATTCAGGAAAATAGGAGTCAGATATGTCGCTTATGTTTGGTCTCTTATTTTGTTATGTATCGATTTTTTGTTTGTGTTAAAGAGGAATTATCTGATAGTAAGCAATCGGCCGCTGCTCTCCCATAAACACCCACAATACTATTAGGGGTTAGGATTGTTGATTAGGGAACTGGGGTAAAAGGAACATAATCAGTCTTTCGGCATTCTGTAACAACACGCCAAAAAACAAAGCAACCATCGTTTCATGCCAGTTGTCTTTGAGAGACGAGGTTTGCTGTCGAGTAGCCGCTTTCATGCCGAAACATGGCTCCCTTACCCTTTCAGCATATTATTATTTATCAAACAAACAACAACAACCCAAAAAGCTTTAATATTGTTTTATTTTCTAACTAAAAAAACTGCAGAAACAAAATTATGAATACAAAAACAAAACATTAAAACAAAAAATAAGATCGGTCCTAAAGTGAGCCACGAAGTAAATATTCCCTTTTCTAACGCAACTCAAATTAAGTAGCTGAACAGATATTATTGAGTGATAGTTATATCATCCACAAAGTCGTCATATACATTGTCATCGAGGTACAATGGATGATATCCCTGATAACCTTTAAGCATTCTTCGACATGTAGGACACACAGGATTCAGTATCAACGCTTTTTGTAAACAACTCCTGCAGAATACATGCCCGCACTTCGTTGAAACCACAGTATCTTTGCCAAGATTGTTAAAGCAAATGGGACAACGAATTCTCAGAAGCGGCTTACGTTTCGATTTTGTCTGTAAAAAATGTGAATTGAGAATATAAGAGTATATTATTAAGGTCGTGGTCACGAAGTAGATTTACTTACTTTATTGTTGACTAGTAAGAATGCTTAAGGCATTTGGTTCACCTCTATAGAACTTGAAGTGTATAAAGTATTAAGTATATAAATACTACTGGCCAGAGCACTGTACCTACAGCGCTAGAAACCTTGTTCTATGAAGGGGGTATGGCCAAGGAGAACAGATTTAATTCCTAATATTTACCTGGTGCGCAAGAAGCAAGAAAATTCAAACATTGTCTTACTTTTTTCCTCTGTTTTTTAAATTTTTTCTCTTTCACTGGTTTTTCCTTTGCTTCTGGTATTCCTGGCGTCATTCCTATGTAGTAATGTTTTGTATCCTTAAGTGTTACAGATATTTTCATCAGTATTGTAAAATCATTTTACAAATAATTTGAGACGTGAGACATTATTTTGACATAACATCTGACAGACTCATCTGTACAAAAAAGTAATTATCTATTTCTTGCTTGCATACTTATTCGTTATGGAGATCAATAGAGTTGACGTACTCTCAAATTAACTACTGGTTTCAGACCATAAAAATGCAGATAAAAAGTAATTACCATTATGTACCAAAATACATATTTATAAATTAATATCTACTGACTAAATTCTGTAGGTTTAAGTAGATTTTCTACATTCGAAGTCTTTCTGCGTACCTATTTATAAAAGTTCGTAAATATCCTTCACTGATTTTTAAAAAGGGTGTGGATTTAAAAACAACTCTATTCTTAGTAAATGCATTGTATTCAATGAATAATTACAATATCACTGATCAAGAGAAACCTTCGTGTACAAATGTAAACTTAGTTTTACTAGTCTTTGAAGCATTTTTACAGTTGCTTCTCAATAATTTTACTAATTTCTTTGGTCCACAGCAATATAAATTAAGATGATTCCTGGAACAAAATTAAATATAATCAACATTTTGTTAACAAACTTAATTAAAACCATTCGCGGACAAATCAAGCTTATTTTAGATGAAACCTTGAGTCCAGTTTTCAAGTAGGGCCTATAATGGTGCCTTGTGGCATACCCTTACTTATTATCACGCATTAGTATAGAGATTGATTGATCATTAATTTTACCACTTTAGGTATCAAGTTATATGTTTATTTAATTGAAATGTTTGATTAAATAAAATTCAATTTATCAATTTATGAGTCCATTTAAAAAAAATAACATCGAACGCTTTCGTGAAAATTTTAAAATATTTACTTTCATTTATATTCCAAATTCTAAGTTTTAAACGATATCTAATAACTTACTCAGGATATAAATGCACCCAATATCCAAAAACTCTATCCCAATGCGGCCTTCCTCTTCTAACTCGACAGCCAATCAAAGGATATTCTTTCGCTATATTATAATTATTGTCTTCAGTTCTTCCAGATTTCTCACCCGTAGCACTTCTTTTAAGATTCGGAGTTAATAAAGTTACTTTCTCGTCATCCTTATCTCTATTTAAAACATGACTCAGACCTTTCTCGTTAATCACAACCATGTGTGCTACAGGATTGATTTCTTTATTAGTATTGTTCTTAAGTTCATTTTGGGTGTTGGTAACGTAAAATTCTATGTGCAGTCTATCTGGGCGGTTTGCGTTTCGTAATTGTAATAAAGTTTTGTTCGCTAGGCACGCGAGCCATGTGAGTTCTTGTTCGTATCTTACTATCCAGAGAAGATGTATTCGGCCGGGTAGGCGATTGCGTGGATTCCTGAAATGAAGAAAATTTTTACGTGTGTACACTTCAAGTACAAAATTGCCTGTAATATTTCCAAGGTTTTGTACTTACAGCAAGAGATCGTGTAACACCGCTACAAAAGGCGTGATTCCTACTCCGGCGGCTACGCAAATGGCTACATCATTTCGACAGACACTCTCCATAGGACTTGAGAACGGTCCGTCTACCAGTACACTGAAACGTTTTGAAAGAATTAAGTTAATGGTAATATTTCGTAACTGAGCTGTGTCTATAGTGCCAGACCTTCTTGCAACATGAGAGCAAATTGAAGCTGTGTCGTGAATTAGGTAAGGCTTCTACTATAGGTTATCTAAAGGGTATCAAAGTGAATGGGCGACAAATAATTTAAGACATATTTGCTTTGGGAGTAGATACCATACTTTATAGGAGCCGTACCGATAATAATTTGACTTAAGAAGTTTGCAGGTAAACTGTTTACCTTAATTCACTCGCCCTCCTCTCTAACAACAATTTTTCTAATGATTCTGTCCAATCACCTTTTATTCTTATCCATACAATGAAGCTTCTTTGGTATGTTGTAGGAACCTGGAGTAAGAAAACAAATTATATGATGATATACCTATTGAAATAGTTCACCATCAACAGCTTAAAAATAAATGTTAAGGAAAGAAGCACAATTTACAATTCCTATATGTAAATATGATAAATAGTCTGATATACCTATTCTTTCTGTATCACCGTAGCTTCGTCATAAGCTTTCGACTACATTAGACATTAGTACATATCTATATTTTTCAAGGAATGGGTTCCCATTGAACATATTTTATATTAGGTAGTACCAAGTGATTGGAGTTGCCCCTACCACCAGAAGTAGTCCTTAGGACACAAGAGTAATGAGCCTTTGTCAACGTGTCATAGGCGCGGCATGGAATTTATCATAATGGACCAATGGTATTAATGATTCAACGATAATCAATATCTAATTTCAAGATAACTAACATAACCATTAAAATATGTATGCGACATAAGAACCTTCCAAAAATAACGTCTGAAGCCCATATAAGACACCAGAAACACGATGCATAAACAATTGTACCTACATATTATGTAGAGAGAGTTATTTTTGGAAGGTTCTTATGTCGCATACATATTTTAATGGTTAATTAAGTAATCTGGCCAAGTATTATAATTAGACCTAACTATCTAAACATGTCACCAAGCCAATTGTCAACAAGCAAATGCGCTTAGTATGATTGCTAATGGGTCAAGCACCATATACAGACTTCTTCTATCCCACCCACGCATTTACTGATGATGAAATAGTTTATACTACTTATACGTTAGCGTCATAAAGGTATGACATAGATTTATGGATGTGGAGGCCGAAATAATAATGGACATTTTGGAAACCCTGAGCTTCGATACGAAGTGAACATGCTTCTAGATGTTAATGTACTACTTATTACTATCGTACGATTTATTAGAAGACCCAGTGAGGGATTAAGCTTTCTTTATTAGGTACTGTGATGATCGCAATTTCTGATACATTTTCGGTGTCATTAGAACCAAATACAGACTAAAGGACTTCTATTTGACAGAGATCCGAACCATGATCTGTTGATGATTAGAGTATACACATGTACGAGTTTTTTTATTAATTACTTGTCACTACACGTACATAACATTGTACCTAGGGCGGACATAATGCATCGAGCATTCTCTACCAGTCTACCTTTATTCTTCATATTCTCTACACCTATTATTTATACTTTTGTAGTTATTTTACGTAATCTTAATGGTTTCTCAAGATACATCGTTAATCACTTATCGCAAGTTGGTATTCTAAAGGCTATGGTTAAAACCTCCATTTATTTGGACATAAATAAATTGTAGCTATTGTATTGTCTAGGATAATTTACGTAATGCTGTTATGCCTCGAGCGCTAGTTTCGTTAATGGATTGGCTTGAGATAACTTTAAACTTTAAAAGAATTTGGAAGACATGTTTTCCGGGTTTAAAAGGATTATTGTGTGTTTATTTAAAATATGTCATATCATGTCTATAACGGTTGCGGGTTGCGGGGTAAGCCGCAATGGGCCTGTAGCAGAAGAAAAAACGGGGGTCTTTAGTCAGTAAGAGTCAGTCACACTCTCACCCGCCCCACCCTGGCCGGGAAAGTCATTAGATGATTTTAAAAAAAAAGCTAGGTATACATACCTATATACTAAATTGCAAGATATTACTAATTTTGCAATCTCAAATAATCAAAGTCTAAAGAACCCTACCTTGACTACAGTAAAGGGATGCCACTCGATAAGGGAGACGTCTAAACACTGCAGCAGCACATACTGCCCCATACGGCACTGCAGGTCAGGCGGACAGCTCACCGTCAGGCTTATTGTGCGTCCCGCCATGTGATGAACCTGTAATATTAATTCATAAATAACTTATTAAAGGAAACTTGACGAATTTTATCTGAAAAATGTTACTTCTTATATCACTGGTCATTGACCTATAATTAACTAGTATTCATAATATTGTAGATATTTCTAATTGGTATTGTAACTATGATAAATCTTGAGATTTTGTTATCGTTAATTGTTTCAATAACATTCAATTATTTTTTATTTCTCCTGTTTGCATTATAGTTATCCTATCCGTTTAAGTACCGTAAATCCGTTGTCACCAAAAAGCATACCTTTTTTTTTTTTTTTTTTTTTTTGTCAGGGGAAAATCATCCAATGACTTCTCCCGCCCAGGGTAAGGCGAGAGAGAGTGTCAGACTCTTACAGACTAAAAACCCCCCCGTTCCTTCTCCTGCTCTGGGCCGAGGTCGCGGTGCCTCATTGCGCTTACCCCGCAGCCCCGGCTAAACATCAGCCCTTTAGGGCCCCGACTGTGGTGGTCTATTGGCTCTTTGAGGCGCGCGCGGAACGCTACGCGCCGTACGCTCGGGTCCAGTTCTGGTCGGGCGGCGAGCTACCCTTACTCGCCGTCCGCAGACCCGCGCTTACGGTGGCCGGAGATCATCCCTCGATCCCCGACGTCCGGAATGTCGCCTTCTGCGGCGGCTGGGGCGCGAGGAGGATAATTCCCTCACGCGCTCCGCCTCCTCCTTTGCGAGCATTACTGCTTCGCAGAAGGAGGAGATAGCTTCCCAGTTCCTCTCACGCTGCACCATGGCCTCGATTAAGGCCGGGCGCGAGAGGTCGTTGCCGCCGATCACTTCCCTGAGAACACGGCGGTGCTCAGCCCAAGCAGGGCACTCCGCCACCGTATGCTCCACCGTGTCCTCCAGGTGATCCTCACAATGACGACACTCGGGCGTTTCCTCCCGCTGGATCCGAAACAGGAACCTACCAAAGCTGCCGTGCCCGGTAAGCACCTGCGTCAGGCGGAAGGTGAGGACGCCGTGGCGTCTCTCAAGCCACTCCTCAAAGAGGGGTCTTACCGCTGCTATAGTAGCGTGCCCGGCCCTCGGTTGCGACAGTCGCTGCTTCCACTCAGCCATGAGATCTCGCCGGAGCTCATTCCGCCACGCACTAATTTGGAGCGGCAGAGGATCCTCGCCCCGGCGACGCGCGTCTGCGCGCAAACTGTAGACGCGCGCGAGCGCCTTCGCTTCCAGATCCCATGGCGGTGATCCGGCAAGGAGGTTCGCCGCCTCCCCGGAGATTGTGCGATATCCGCGGATTATTCGGATAGCCATGACCCTCTGGGACGCGGCCAGCGTACGAGCCGGCCGCCGCTTCAAATCCGGCGCCCACACAGGGGCACCGTAGAGGGCCATGGATCGCACAATCCCCATGTACAACCTCCGGCAGGAGGCGTTTGGCCCCCCGAGGTTGGGAAGGAGCCGCTTGAGCGCGGCCCCAGAGCGTTCCAACTTAGGAGCCAAACGACGAAAATGCTCCGTGAAATTCCATCGGCTGTCGAGGACGAGACCCAGGTACTTCATCGCCGACTCGACGCCGATGGTAACTCCTCCTGCCATTATTTGGGACCCATCTGGAGGTGGCGCGTTCCGACGGCCATAAAAACACATGGCCTCGGATTTGTGAAGCGCCACCTCGAGTCCCAACTGCCGGATCCTTGCAACGACTGACGCGACCGCTTGCGACATCAGGTCGGCCGCCGCCTGATGTGACCTCCCATTCGCCAGCACCAGCGTGTCGTCAGCATAACAAACAATGCTGACGCCGCTCGGGAGGTCGGTGCGTAGCACCCAATCGTACCCGATGTTCCACAGGAGAGGTCCCAGGACCGATCCCTGTGGAACACCGCGCGACACCTCTCGCCGATTCCACACGCCCCGGTGACCGGGGTAGATGACGCATCTGTCCGTCAAGTAAGCCTCGACTACACGACGGAGATAGGCAGGCACCCGGTGATACCGGAGTGCCTCCAGAATGCAGCTCCAGGGCAACGAATTGAAGGCGTTGGCGATGTCCAGAGACACCGCCACGACGACTCGCCCCCTGGCCAACACAGTCCCCGTCGTGAGGTCCCTCACGCGCATGATGGCGTCCACCGTGGAGCGCCCTCTGCGGAAGCCGAACTGGCCGTCCGCTAAATCCGGCCCTCTTCCAGACAGGTGCCCGACGAGGCGGTCTGATATTATCCTCTCGAACAGTTTTCCCACCTCGTCGAGCAGCACAATGGGCCGGTACGCGGACGGAGAGTCCGCAGGACGCCCCGGCTTCTTCACGAGGACCAGTTTACCCGTCTTCCACGACAGCGGAAACTGGCCCCTCTCCAAGCATGCGCTGAAAAGACCAATTAGTCGAGGCCTGAGAGCCTCCGAGGCCAGGACCCAAACCTTGGCATGCAGCCCGTCAGGTCCTGGGGCGGTGTTCTTGCCGCTCAGCCGGCGCACCGCCACCCTCAAATCTACCTCGGTCACTTCCGGAGCGGATTCACCGTCGTCGTCGTTGTAGCCCGCATTGGGCACCGCAGGGGGCGGAGACATAGTGGGAGGCGTGTAACCTATCTGTGGTCGGGGGAATAGCGCCCCAACCACTTCGTCCACGACCTCCGGCCGGAGACTCTGAGTCAGTGGGGGCGCCCAGGTGCGGAGCTTATCACACACCATGCGGTAGGGGCGTCCCCACGGGTCTCTGTTCAGAGTCTCCAACATCTCCTCGCGGGCCCGATCTTTGGCCCGCCGGATCTCCACCCTTAGGGTGGCCTTCGCCGCCCTGTACTCCTCGTACAGCTCCGCCTCTCTGGTTTCAGCGTCCAGAGGGCGGATACGGAGCCTGCGGTGCCTGGTGTATCGGCGTCGCGCTGCGGTGCACTCACCACGCAGAGCAGCCAGCTCCTGCGACCACCAATACACCTGGCGCTTGCGTTGGCACGCCCGGATCCGGGGCATCGCCACGTCGCACATCCTTGACGTGGCGTCCTGGAGCCATCTCGCCTCCTCGTTAACGTCGGCAGGCCTGACCGGTGGTATCACCCAGGCCTGCACGACTGCGGCTTCCAGGAAAAGCTCCCGGTCCAGTTGCCTAAGCGCCCAACGCGGGCCACACGGGGCCTGTCTGACTGGCGGGTCTGCGGACTCGGCGGAAACGTCGAACCGTATATAGCGGTGGTCCGAAAACGTCTCCACCTCCTCCATGACGCGCCAGTCGCCAACGCGCGATGACAGAGCGGGGCTAGCAAACGAAATGTCCACCACTGACTCGCCCCGCATCCGTATGCACGTGGGGACAGAACCCCGGTTCAGCACGACCAGGCCTGTCTCCAGAGCCCAGTCTTCGACCATCCTTCCCCGGACATCAGTGAGCCGGGAACCCCAAGCCAAATTCTTGGCATTGAAGTCCCCGAGGACCAGTATGGGGAGGGGACGGAACCCGACGACGACGGTGACTAATTCCCTGAGGGAGTTGTGGAACTCGACGAGAGTTCGGTTCGGAGAGAAGTACACGCCCACCACGGCGATCTCTCCGAACCGAGCCGCGACGCAACCCCTGCCTCGCTGAGGCCCTTCGGGGGTTGGGGTACCGGCGGCGGCCGACGAGATGATGGTCACCGAGCCGTCCAGGTCTGACAACCAGTGTTCCCTGGGTGGAACGAAGTACGGCTCGGAGACCACAGCAACATTGATCGACCACTGCGCCATGCTCTGGAGCAGGAGATCCTGAGCAGCGGCGCAGTGGTTGATGTTCGCCTGGAGGAGGCGTAATGGAGCCATTATTGGCAGTCCATCACGACCTCCTCTCTGGCACCGGCGACAGCAGCAGTCGCGGAGGCGGTGGCGACTGTGTCTGTATCGACGGGAACGGCGGGGGCGGTAGAGGCGGCAGAGGGCCTAACTTTACCCCTGGGATTGGCGGGGGGGGAGCAGGTTTTGCCCCCAACCCGGTGATCGGCCGGCTTACCAGCCGCCGCACATACTACGCAGTGTAGCGGTGCGGTGCAAGTGCCGGCCCTGTGACCGGGCTGACCGCAGCGGAAGCAGCGGTCGCTACGGTCTACCTCCGAGGTGCATTTGGCACCCACATGGTGACCAATAAGGCAACGATAGCACCTCAGAGGCCGGGGCTCAAGCAGCTTCACCTGCGCCGAGACCCAGCCCACCAGGAGTCTTTTGCCCTCCGACAATTTTTTTGCCGCTGTGACGGGGCAGCTGACTACCACAGTCCGCAGCCCCGTGCTGTCCGGGCGGATGGTGCCTGCCTTCACCTGGTCCACAGGACACTCCCCCATCCTGGCGACAGCGGCCGCCACCTCATTCTCCGTCACAGAGTCGTCCAGGCCCATAATACGTAGCTCCAGGCATTTAGTGGGCCTGGACACGCGAGCCTCGTCCGCTGCAAGGCACGTCCTGAGCCTCTCGGCTAGGGCGTCAGCGGACGACCCGCTGGCCGCGCCGGGGACCTCTAAGAGACGGGCTCCAGTGGCAGTGACCCTCACTGCGAACCCGTCGGGTGCCCCGAACTCCGCAGGAGATACCGCCCCCTTCAACTTTTTGAGTACGTCCCCGTACGTCACCCCCTTTTTAGCCGCATCCGGCTGTAGTGTAATCACTACAGCCGAAGATTTGGGGGCGAGGAGCATTGCCGCGGCGCGCTTCTCCTTGCGCCGCTGCTGCCGCCGTTGCCGCTGCTCTTTCTTGCGGCGCTTCCTCGCCTCCTTAGCGACCCTCCTCGCTTCCCCGGCCACCTGCCACTCGCCATCGGCACACAACTCCGATGGGGTGGGCGCCGCTCTGGCTGGAGCTCTAGCGGCTGCACCCCTGCGCCTGCGACTCATCGGCGCCGAAGCTGAAGTTGGAGCTTGCGCTGTCAGAGCCGCAGGTGCCGCCTTCGGCGCTTTCGCCGGCGTAGGCGCTTTCGCCCCCTTCTTCGCCGGTGCCTCAGCCCGAGCGCCGCAGCTGGTTGAAGGCTTTGCTGCTGCTGTTGCGTAAGAGCCAGCTGCAAGCGGGGGTCGGAGGAGCCTAGCCTCCAGAGCGTCAAAACGCTGTTGAAAGGCGGCCATCTCTCGCCGCATCAGGCCGAGAAAGTCGGCCTCCGTTGGCTGCGCCGGTTGGGGACGGCCTCCGCGAGCAGTGGCGAGCTCTGCCTTAGCTGCTCGGAGTTCAGCCTCCAAGGCCGAGTTCGCAGCCACCAATCGGGACAGTTCCCGTCGCATCCCGGCTAGCTCCTTATGCAGAGCAGCCATTTGCCGCCCCGTTGACCTCTGCTGGGCTACCGCCGACATAATGGCGGCTTCGGCGTGTTGAAGCACTCCGTATCTGCCAGCCTGGGTTTTCTGGCCAGCCACCGTACGAAGTGCTTCCTTAACTTCATTGCGAAGGCTCTCAGCGCCGCCTTCGCTTACAGAGCCCTCGCCGCCGGACACTTCAATCTCGGACGAGTCCGAGGGGGCGGCCC